TCCTCTCCTCTCCTCTCCTCTCCTCTCCTCTGTCCTCTGTCTCCTACCCCCTACCTAGCTTGCCCACTCCTGTATCTGAGTTCATGGATCTTTCCCCTTCCGGACCCTCTAATCCCCCCCCATACCCCGCTCCAAACGCCCCCAGACTCTCCCTCTTCCCCTCCAGCCCGTCTCAAGCTCCACCCGCCTTGTCCCTCACTCAGGTCTTTCTTCCTCTCTCCCCTCTTGGTGGCAAAGCCCTGCAGGGCAGCGGTTCTAGCCACCTGGGCAAGTGAGGACGGGTGGGGGCTGGGGCTGGGGTGGGGAACCGCCACTCCCCACCCTGCCTGTACAGGGAGATGAGACCCGAGTCTGGGCTGGGGCTGCCACCCAGGAGGCCTGCCCTCTCAGCCCACACACCGAGCCCCACATTTGCCCACATCCAGCCAGCCTCCCTCACCCCGGCTGCGCCCGCGTCTGGGGTCTAGCAGAGGAGGCGGCACACACTGGCCTCAGGCCTCACCCCACAGCCGTAACGGGGCCAGAGCAGCCTCCAGACCCAGGCCGGCCCTCCCAGGTGTGCCATGGAGACCCCCGTTCAGTGCCCACTGCCCATGGGCACGTCTCAGCCGGCACACATTCTCGGTGGGTGTCCCCCAGCACCCGCACAGCACACCTGCACACACGCCCTGCTGTGCGTGGCTGTGGCTGGGGTCGCCTGTGCGCGTGTCGGTGCCTCTGCCACACCAGTGCTCCTGGAAAAGGGGGCTGGCCGGTGCCCAGGAGCCTGCGGGAGGGACCCACGGGGGTCCTCGCCTCTCCTTGACTGTCCTTGCGGCCACCCCCTCCCCCTCACCAGCTGCCAGCGGTCCCAGCCAGGGCCGCCCCACCCCCGTCTGTCCCAGCTCCCGAGCTGCTGTGTTCGCCATATTTGGCCACAGTGCTCCTGCGGGGGGCGGGGCGGGCCTGACATCACCCAGGAGGGGGGCCACCGCCTGGGTGGGGGGAGGCGGACAGAGACTTGGGGGAGGCAGGCAAGTTGCTTTGAAAAGTCAGCTGCCAGGGGCCCCCATGCCCTGGGCCTCCACTGCTCTGAGCAAGGCTGCAGGGAGGCTTGGTGGGGAGATGGGTTGAGACTGGGTAGAGGGTCCCAGCTCACTGCAGCCCCCTCCTGCCTCCCACTGACGGCTGTGCCAGCATCAACCTGGGGAGAGTCCTGGGCTGCGGCTGCTTTAGTGCAGGAGTCTCTGCGTCCCCAGGTCCCTGCTCCCCCACATTTTTACTCCCAGAACTTGGCCTGGGGGCTGAGGTGAGGCTGCGATGGGGATGCGGTCCTGGGGTGGTGACCTGAGGCAGTGTGTGACTGCCTCTGCTGGCCGCCCCGGAGCCCTCCCGAGAGGGCTGCAGCAGTGCCGGGGTCCCTGAAGTTGCCTCAGCCACTTGGGCTTAAGGGTGCCCCTGGTCTGGACCCCACTGGGCACGCTCAGAGTAGTTGCCATGACAACGTGGCTTCCTCCCTAGCACAGGTGCTGGAGTTCTCAGCCCCATCCCTTGGGTAACAGACTGGAGCCAGATTGCCTGGGTTCAGAACCTGCTCCGGTACTTCCTAGCTGGGTGTCCTTGGGCAGGTTGCTTAACCTCTCTGTTCATTGGTTTCCTCATATGTAAAGTGGGAGCAATCACAGTATCTGTCCCAGAGGTTACAGTGAGAATTACATGAGTCCGTGTGTGTAACACACCAGAACAGGGCCTGCCTTTTGGCAGGTGCTGCTGTCAGTAGCAGCATTAAGTCTAAACTCTGTCTCCATGTGACATGCAGGCTCCCCGGGCCCTCCCATCCCTTGGCACTAGCCACCTCCTTCAAGCTTCCAACATGTCC